TTGTACAAGGAAAATTGATACTTTCAACTTTTCCTCGAAAATATTTTCTGAAAGTTTAATTTCGAAGAAAATTGATACTTTCAACTTTTCCTCAAAAACCTTTTTTGGAAAATTATTTTCAAAGAAAATTGATATTTTCAACTTTTCCTCAAAAATATTTTTTCAAAAAACTTATTTTCAAGAAAAATTGATACTTTCAACTTTCCATCAAAAATATTTTTTAGAAAAACTTGTTTTCAAGAAAAATTGATACTTTCAACTTTTCCTCAAAAATATATTTTTAGAAGACTTATTTCCATGGAAAATTGATACTTTCAACTTTTCCTCAAAAATATTTTTTTTGAAGATTTATTTTCAAGAAAAATTGATACTTTCAACTTCTCCTCAAAAATATTTTTTTGAAATTTTATTTAAAAAAAATCAAAAAATAAAATAAGATAAAAATAAAAATAAAGGTAAAAATAATAAAAATAAAAATAAAATAAAATAAGAAATACTAAATAATTCTAATTTAATCAATAAATAATAATAAATAAATAAATATAAAAAAAGGAAAAAAAAACCTTTTGAACTGTTTGGCTCAAGATAGAAAGGGCAGCTCGAAGACGCAGCTCGGGGATGTCGGCTCGACTAGACTCGGCTCGGCTCCAAGGATCGGTTAGCACTCGGGTCACACGCGGGTCAAACACAGGTTGGCGCTTGGGTCAAGTCACCCGATTTCAAAACGCGTGGATCTTCTAAGAATAGTAACGCCCAAACGATATGGTTTTCAGCAAGTATAAAAGGCTCTAACCTTTATTTTTCAGCAGACCGCTCCTTCTCTCTCTCTTCCCTTCCCTTCCTTTCCTCATCCCTCTATCTAAACTATCTTAGATTTCGGTTGAATTTCTACTGGAATTTGGAAAAAGTCGTTGAAATCTTCAAATTTGGCTGGAAAACTTGTCGAAAAATTCAAAGTTCGTCGAAAAATTTTCTCGAATTTTGAAAATTTTCTAGAAATTTTCCAGAAAAAAATGTCAAAAATTCATAAAAAAAAATTCCCACCAATTTTTAAAGCTGTTATAACGTACCAGAACCCTTTTTAGCTTCTGTTTTCTTTCTGTGTGTGTTTTCTGTTCATTTTTTGTGAATCTATTTATAGGGATTGATCAGAAGAGTTTCTGATCAATCCTAAGTCCCTTTTGGATTGGGATTCAATACTTGAATCCAATCTGGACTCTGATTGAATCTCAAATTTTCGGTAGAATTTTGAATTTTTATCATAATCCCAACCGAATAAGAAGAAAAGAAAAAAATAAAAATAAAATAAAAATAAAAAAAATATATTAATAGATAACTAAAAGAAAATAATAATAATAATAATAGATAAATTATAATAAAAACATATATATTAATAGATAAATAAAAAAATGTTAATAGATAAAAATAAATATATTAGTAGATAAATAATAAATATATTTAAAAAATAAAAAAATAATAAAAATAAAAGCAAAAATGGGCCTATTTTACCCATTTGGATCAGACCCAATTGATTCGGGTCTGGATCAAATTGGGTGTCTACAGTATTGCATTTCATAATAATTTTTTACTGCACTTTTCAAATGCATTTTATCCAAATTGAACTTTTTCAACCGTAATAGCAATACTAAATTAGATCCTAGTGTCATTCAATTTTGATTATTGTTTAGACTTGTGTAGAGAAAAAAATATTTGAAACATAAACATAAAAATTATTAAAAATAAAATTTTAAATGCATTAGACCGATGTATGAAAATACATCTTTTAAATTATTCAAGGAGAGAATTAAGTCCGAACAAAATTTAGAGATACCATTGATCATATTCTTAAAGAAAAAAAAAAAAAAAAAAACCCTTTTTCTTTTGATTCATGAAATAAAATATGTTGCAGAACTTCGCTTGGAGACTATTTGGTTTTTTTTTAATTTTGTTTTAATTTTTGCTTTTTGGAAATAAGTGTAAATTTCGGTAAAAAAAGAAACAAGTGTAAATTGATATAATGGGATGATATGGAAACAAATAATTTATCAAAGTAATTAAAATTCCTCTCTAATTTTGATGTCCAATTAAAAGAAGGTACTGTCCTTTTAACCAAAAGCAAATGAGACATTGATTAATTTGTTGGCAACTTAACATATACTGTCCTAGTTGTATGTTTAACCTATGCTTTTCAAATGAATTTTATTTAAAATATGACATGAGATAAATATGATATAAAAAATAAATATTAAAATGACGCGATTAAAAATTTAATAATTATTATATAAATTTAATAAAATATTTTTTATATTTTATATTAATATAAATTATAACATATAATTTTTATATAAAATATGATATAAATATTTAAAATTTAATATTTAATATAATAATAATATACGAATCATTAAATTTACATAATTCCACTAAAACTCTCCAGCTAAAGTAGAAAAAAAAAAATTCTGCCGGTTTCAACAGGGAAGTGGCTTTGAACATAGGGAAAGCTATAGCCATAACTCTTGCTAATTAATGAAGTTAAAATTGGGAAAATTATGACTGGTCCTTTCCCCCTACTATCTTCTTTTATTTAGTTGAGTAATTAAAAGATTGCTAAAGCCGCCCTAAGCTACTCTTATCACAAAATAAAGACTGTGCAAGTTTGCTTCTTCTTTTGTTTTTAATTTTTTTCAAGTTATGCTGAATTTGTTCAAAATTTGGTCCCAGATATATACCCAACTTTTTCACAATATTTTCACAATTATAATTTTTTTTTTCAAATTCAAGTGTTTTTTACTATGGTTTTTAGGATTATAAAACTCAGTTCTTATTGTTGTAAGCATAATTATGCTTTAATGCTTTCAAAAAATATAGTATAGGTTTTATGACCGGAATAAATTGACATAGTAGTGGTGACGAAAAATAGAGGTGTTTATAATTTGATTTTAATTAAATTACTTGATCGAATTGATTTAATTTGATTAATCGGTTAGTAATCGAATTAATTTCGATTGGTGAACAAAAATTATTTTAGAAGAATTTTGATTTTTGGTTAATATGGTTTTTGAATTAATTAAAATTTTAATCAAAATATAAAATATCCAAATATAAAATGAAAAATACACCAAATGAATCATTTTATTTCATAAGTTGTTAAAATTTTTAACATAACACTTTGGTAGTTAAATATTTTATGTAGGGATGAGCAAACGTTGATTTGAACCAACTAGACCGATCGAGACCGAGTGAATTCGATTGAATTAGTTTGGTTTATTCGATTTTAGTTATAATTGATTTTTTAAATTGGTTAAATTGATTAATTTGATCGGTTTTCGGTTTTTAAAAATTGATAGCCGAACTGATCGAATTAACCGACTTTTTAATAAATAAAGGTAAAAAAATTAAGATAAATATTTTTATTTATTTTTTTCTTATAAAATATTGTTAAAATTATTAAATTTTTTAGTCATTTAGTTTGAATGATACTTGAGTTTGAGTTTTATTGAATTAAATTTGTAGTTAAATAATTATTCATAATAAAAAAAATTGATTATTTAATCGAACGACCGAACCGAACCAATTTTAGTTGGTTCGGTTATGATCGGTTATGAATAATATTCGGTCGGTTCGGTTAGTCGATTAAGTCTATTATTAATTTTTTCAAACCGAATCAACCGAACCAATCAATTACTCACATTTAATTTTATAGGATAATTTTATTTAGTTTATTTAAAATATGAAAAATTAAAAATATAATATAATTTAATATATTTATTATTTGATTAATAAAAAAATTAATTGAATAGACCAAGTTAAATTTGATTTGTTAATTTTTAAAATTAATAAATTTGATTCTATTAATATAAATAAAATATTATAAATTTATTTTAAATAATTTAATTTAAAATTAATTGAATCAATCGAATAAAGAACCTATAATGCAACAAGGTAATTTTTATTTGAAGGGTATGGCGAAAATTGTTGATAATTTGGAAGGTTTAAGAGAAGATAAAGGCTTTTCTGAGAAACACGAGATGAGAGCTAATGAAACAAAGAGTACGTAGTGAGGCATAGAATGCTGGTTTGCTTGCATGGAGTCGAGGGCTGAGGGTAGAGCCATGCCCACAACAACAGCCGCCTAAGCAATTTAGCAATTAGCAACACCATCAGGAATTAGCAACGATAACAATAACAACAACAATTAATTAATTATAAAAAAATAAGAATATATAATATATCATTTTCAATTCAACAATGAATAAATAATACTAGTTCCTACAAAAAAAATATTATTTATATATGAACATGGAATTCGAATTTCATACTTCAATTTTTATTTTATTTTTTGATTTGCCATGTAATTAAGGTATTCCCAATATAAAGTCTAAAATGTTGCAATTTGTTCCGTAAATTTTATAGTTATCAAAGCATATAGACAAAATTGCAGACTGGAATGAATAAAAATAGACAACTTGTTTGGAAGAGAAGAAAATAAAGAGGAAAGAAAAGAAAACGATTCCCACGGAACTGATAAACTTATAAGTTAATTTATTGGCACACACAGAGAAAATAACAAAGTCACAGCGTCAAACTTCAAAGCCCTGTTGCTACTTGCTAACTAAGTTACTATAAAGCTTAAGTGCTTAATTAAATTAATTACTTATTTAATTAAACCTATGTTCCTATTATGATTAGATTTTATAATTTGTATGTTCATGTAAAATATAATTCGTATATTGATATTATATTTTATATAAAAATTATATATTATAATTTAAAATATATATTTTTAAATTCGTATATGAATTTTACTAACATTTTAATTTTTGTATTTTTTTTTATCATTTTCTTATTATGTTTTTCCATCTTGTCTTAGATAGTCCATCTAATTGCGGCTATTCTTACTTTCTCTCTCAAATGCTTACCTTTTCCTCTATTTTCAAACCAATCTCCATCTATAAAACCCCACTTCTCTATCTTCCCTGTATTAATCCAACTCTCTCTCTCTTTCTTTCTTTGTTTCTCTTTCTCTTTTCTGTGTCTCAAAAGATATCTCTATATAAAAAAACTTTATTCTTTCAGATTTCAATCAACCAGACTCACCATTTAAGGAAAAAAATGGATGTTAAAGCAAGGGGTTGTAGCGCAAACACCCAAAGTGAAGAGGATCAGATCATGGACTTGAGAAGAGGTCCTTGGACTGTTGAAGAAGACTTGAAGCTCATCAATTACATTACTACTCATGGCGAAGGTCGATGGAACTCTCTTGCTCGTTGTGCAGGTAATAAATGCTAATATGTCACCATATGTATTTGTTGTCACCCCCCCCCCCTTTTGGTTTAGGTGAGATTAACGTGTGGCCATGGAGAGACCTGTGCCATAGTACAACAAGTTGGCAAGTTGATTTTAACTTTTATTTTGGGTCTTGTTTTCATCTTCATGTCCTATCCTGATTAATCAAATGAGCTTTTCAACATGATCACATGAATGCCCTTTCATCGCCAAAAACAAAAGTGAAAAGGTCCTGCTTTCCTCTCTTCTTTAATCCCTCTCTCTTCTCTAACAAAAGTGCAAAAAAAAAAAAAATCTTGGGGTTTGCTGATTCTTTCTTTTTCTCCAATTTTTTGATTGATCCTGAGGATTTAATCTGTATATAAAAAATACCAACCTGAAAATTAAAAGCCGGACGTTTCATGGAAAAGCTACTGTAGCCTTGATTGTGAGGTTGATGATGCCCGTATAGGAGAACTCAATCATGAAAGTTTTGAAGCAAAAGCTACAACTCATGAAAAAAAAATAGTATAGGAGAAAATGCCCTTTCTTTTTCCCCAAACACTTGTTTTCCACATAACTTTACCAAAAACTTGTCGTGTCTAAATAGAATTCAATGAAACAGGTCTCAAACGGACAGGAAAAAGCTGCAGACTGAGATGGTTGAATTATCTCCGCCCCGATGTTCGACGTGGGAGCATCACTCTTGAGGAACAGCTTTTGATTCTTGAACTTCACTCTCGCTGGGGAAACAGGTAAAATGTTTTAACCTCAACTCTCTCGATCAGTTTATGATTTTTTTTTTTTCCAAATTTACAGATATTTTTATGTTACAGATGGTCCAAAATCGCCCAACACTTGCCTGGAAGAACCGACAATGAGATCAAGAACTATTGGAGAACTCGTGTCCAAAAACATGCGAAACAACTGAAATGTGACGTGAACAGTAAGCAATTCAAGGACACCATGCGTTACCTATGGATGCCTAGGTTAGTTGAAAGAATTCAAGCTGCTGCTGCTGCCGCCACACCCACCTCCACGACCGCTGTTACCGAGGCCTCTACCACCACCTCCGCTTCCGTCACCACAGCAGGCAACATAGGCATGGGGCAGATGGTCATGCCTCAGGGGGTTATAGGCAATGACTTTGGAGGCGTACAAATAACCCCAAGTTACACCCCAGAGAATTCTAGCACTGCAGCCTCATCAGACTCCTTGGGCACTCAAGTTTCACCGGTTTCAGATTTGACTGATTATTACAGCAACATCCCGGTCAACAACCCTAATCCGGATTATCTCCAAGCTAGCCAAGTTGGTTATTCTGGGTCCTCCTTAATAAGTCCCTCTGGTACTAATTACTACAACCACGGCACAGATTTTCAGTCCCTGGAGCAGAACAACCCCTGGCTAGATGGTGCTGATGGATCATACAACTTCTTGAACGCTGAGGATTTTTTTTTCTTGCAGCAGCAGTTCAACTTCAACATGTGAAGATTTCTTCAAATATACTAATAAATTCATGGGGGAAAATGAAACTCAACTGTAGATGAAAAAAAGAAAAAACAAAAAGGAAAAAGAAAATCAGAATAATCTTTTGTATTTTTGCTAGTTTTTCTTTCTATTTTTTTATTTGGGGGTGAACAAAAAAAACTTGTAATTTGAGGCTTTTGTTTCTAATTAATCTCATTCATTGATATTGACTTAATTGATTTTTTCCTTTTTATTATTTTTTAAATTTTTTTTTGGGTTTATAGAAGCATATTTTAGAAAATAATTTAAATAATAGATAAATGTGAATAATTGGTTCCACCATACGTTTTTAACAATTATAATTAATTATTATTAGAATTTGCATTATTTTTATATTTATATTTATATTTATATTCTTCTACTTTTGAGACCTTGTCCATGGGGCATGAACCACAGACCCTAATCCTCTCCCATAAGCTTCTAGATGTCTAAAAGGCAAAGCTTGAGCTTAATCAGCAATAAACAAAGAGAAGTTGGCCATTAAGAGACTTTTGGACATTCAAACATTTTATCTTTTATCATGTTTAAAGAGAAAAAAATAAATAAATAAAGTACAATTGCAAACTCCATTAACTAATTTCTAGTTTTGTTTTGTTTGCCTTTGTACGGGCATAGTGTTTGCTTCATCCCATTTAACCAGACAAAGCTTTTATATTAGTGCGTTTAAAGTAAATTTCATTCACACATTGTGATTAGAATTGTTTATTTTAATTTATTGTTAAAATATTAAAAGTATTTTATATTAATATTTAATAATAAAATTTTTTCACAAATCAAACCAAAATTGAGCTTGAAAATTTTATCCAAATCTAAATCGTAGAAAAGTTTGATGGATTGTGCCATCTGATCTGTGAATAATCTAGTTTTGTTAAGGGTAAAATTGTTTAAAAATATTTTTTTTTAATTTATAGTGCAAAAATTAAAAGTGATGACAATTGATAATTATTAGAATTGGATCAGATTTGATTTTTTAGATTTCATATAATTTTATAAATTTTAAAAATTTGATTTGAATTCGAATCGATCTTTCACATGATTTGATCTTAACCAAACCAAAATTTATTTATTTTTAAATTTTTTATATATTATTTTAGTATAAAATTTTAAATATTTAAATAAATTTTGATATAAAATTATTATTTTTATTTTATAAAACTTTAATATATATAAATTAATAAAAATATATAATTTGATTTAATTTTTTTATTTTTATTTTTTAATATGATATTTGATTCAAATATAATATATATTTAATATTTAAATTTAATTTAAACTGAATAAAAAATTTACATCAATCACTATAATTTTAAATTATTTTTTATTTTTTTCATCTCTCGTGACATCTCCAAGTGTGAATATAAAAATTTGTATTTACATTTTTTAAAAAAAATCACAAACAAGAAAGGCTTTTTTTCTTTTTAAAAAAAAAGGAAGGCTTATGAATAATATATTATTATTTATAGAATTTACATACATAAAATAACAATCTTTTTCCTAAAAGGAGGAAGCGGCACGCGCGAGGATAACGAGAAGGTGAAGCACGTGATGGAATAGTTTAGAGAGAGAGAGACAGAGAGAGGATGGCGGCTGGGAATTTTTGTAGGCCGCGTGCCAATGGAAGAAGCCACCGATGTGGTCCCATGTAAAAAAGATATTAAAGAACGACACGTGTCATTAAGGGATTTAACAATAGTCAGGAGCAGTATGTTTTCTCAGTTCCTGGGACCCCCAAGTCCCAAGGCCAACTCCAAAGGCAAAGGCACTTACGGCCGCAACCCTTGAAACAGGCCTAAGCAACAATTCCACGTCAGCCCCTATTTTCCCTTTTTTTTTGTCAAATTAAGGAAAGAATAGGGTAATTTTTTTTTAATTCTTAATTTACCTTTAAAGTTCTTATTCGACTACTTACCCAATTGAAAAAAAATATTAAATGCATAAATTTTTTTAAATTTTAAATTTTTAAAAAATTAATTTTAAAATATCAACTAATTAATTAAGAGATAGTCGGCAGAATAAGCAACTAGTTAGAGACAAAGGAACAATGTTGTTGAGTTGAGACGTGATTACGTAACCAGCTCTTTAATTACTTTAATTAAATAAATTATTAATTATGTTGCAAAGATTAGATGAATTTTGGCAAGTGGATAGCACTTGCTTTACATGTTGTAAACTTTTATTTATTAGCTAATTAAATTAGGTTCTTAATACTATAAATTAAAATCGCCTCAAGTATTAATTTTAGACTAACCTACATTATCATTAATCAAATCAAGGTCCAATTAATTAATTAATATGCCATTACTTTATATATAAATTTATAATATATGCTACTATATCTGATAATGTCAAATTCACATATATCTATATATATTAGTCTTTTGCACAACAACATTGATATATACATATATGTTATAAAATTATTACTAAATCATTGATTATCTTTCTTATTTTTAAAATTAAATTAATTTTGTTATATTTAATATTATAAAAAATTGAATTATGATAATTAAAATTATAAATATAATATTTTATCAACAGATCATATAATTATTAATAAAAAGATAAGATATTATTAGATCATTCATTGAAGCCTTTGTTTTTTCCTATTCTTTTATATATCATTTTCATTTCCAATATATAGAACTTCACATTAAGATCTTATACTTTTGAAATTAAATGGTTAAAATATATATCTACATACAGGCTTCAACACATATGATTAATTAAGTTGATGAAAGTCATAATGGCAATTTGTGGGCTTACATTACATGCATGCAATCGCAAAACCTAGCACTTACCTTCGATCCACGTTCAGGTTTTTAATTACCTTCCCTAATCACCCTTCTAATAAACTTTCAAAAGCTGACTCTTTCATTCTCTTCTTTCTGATGATCAGGGCCCATCCGAACCACGGAGTGATACACATCACTCAGTTTGCAGTGAAGATCTGTGGGTCCTGATAGTTCCACGTGGAGATCAAATTGGCATGCAATGATATCGATCATTGGATGTGACCTCACTTCCCCCCTGATGATTTTCCTGAATAGTGGACGGCTACTGTTTGGAAAGCTACCTTACAAATCTTTCATTTCTTTATTGAGGGGTCCTTCAGCTTCAGCCATTCAACAAGTCATTTGAAAAAAAAAAAAAAAAACAATCAAAAAGAATAAGAAGATGCTTTCTGTTCGTTCAGGACTAAGGCTTTTTCCCAGAACTGAAGTGGTACCTCAAAGCCAAAGGCTGACCACGGAGGCAGCCCACCTAACAACAGGCCATGTGCAAAGATCTCTTTATCGTCTGGTATGACTTCGATTATCGAACTAACAGGAATACATACATATCGTCAACTGAAGGCTAGAGATAAGGCCCTTCGTCGTCAATTCAACTCTAACACCTGATTCTGTATTTCCTGTGCATGCGAAACGTTATTTTTTTTTTATTTTGATTTTTCTTTCGTCAACAGGAAGAAAAGTCTTGCTCCCACCATCTTACATTTTCTTTCTTGACTGAGAATGTGTATGAGATGTTACGTCAATGCTTTATCCCTGAAAAAAAAGGAAGTAAGAAACTGAAAGGAAATTACGGTGGAAATTAAGAAGAAGTTGCATGTGCCACACAAACTTTTAATGGCTTTGATTTTATTTGGATTTCCAACTGGTCATTCATTGTGCTTTGCAAATTGCAAAATGCCATGTTGATACTTACATTATATTCATATTTTACTTTCAATTTCCTTTCCAAAAATTTTAAATCACAATTGACAAGGAAGAAAATTTGTTTCGTTATCAGCTGCGTTAAATTTGATTCACTCTTTTAATTTAATTAGCCATAAATAAAGAAAAATCAAAGAGAGTAAAATAGTCAACTATTAGCGACAGCCAATCAATGTGTAGCCTAGAGGTCTCAAACGGGTCGATCTTTAATTACCGACTTCAAAATATTCATTTTGGACAAGACCAAAAAAATGCGTTTAACCTTATTGTAAAGGGGGACTGCAATTACATGATCAGTAAGTTGGAACCAGCTTCTCATTTATGGCTATGGACTTTAATTTTGCAGCTACCTTCTCTTCCTGAGCCGCGAGGCCTTAGCCTCAAAGAAATCACCACGGAGGCTGTGGCGCTTGAAACTTGTTTTGTTTCATGCATGTGATCGATTACTGAATTAATCCAAGTAACCCTCAAATTCTCACGTAGCCGATATATATTATTGATCCAACCTTTAAGATGCTAAAACATCATATATAGTTGCAGCAATACTAACGAAAGAGGTTCAAGTTCAAGGGCCAGCAACGCATATCATGTTTTTCAATATTGTTAAAAGGATATCGATCAAGCCAACTGACGTATATTACCGTTCCTTGATCACTTGAGACAAGCTAGTTTGGTTTTGAAGGCAATCCTTTACAGAGGTACTCCTCTAAGCCACTTAGCCACAACAATTTGATGGAGTTTCAACCAAAAGGTAAAAATGAATCAGTGCTATAGCTTTCAATTTCTATATATAGCTTCATCATATTGCCAAAAATGTGTACAAGATCTTTCCAACCTATAACAAATAAAGTAACTGCTCATGTTGGGATTCCACTATAAGTTAATTAGAACACATGTTCTTATGCTTATCTTAATTGTCTACTGCGGGCCCAAGTAAGGTACAAGTTTTGTACTATACATTCAAGCACTTTCCTGCTGAATTACGCTAATGTTAACACAACTTAAGCGAATTGCTGTCCACAATTTCATGCTTCTTCAAAGGGTTTCATGAGCATTATCTGATGTTTCTCCTTCGTAACTTCATTACCTTCAATGGAAATGATGTTAATGCGAAAGGCATATGTCCCTGCCACAATTCTAACCACAATCTATAAAGCGAGTAATTGGAATCAAAATTCATCCGGTATATACTCAATTCGTTATACCCTATTCTTTGAAAGTAGATTTTAAATTCAAATCTCTTTTTTTTTTAGGTAAATTTCGCGTAAAGAGAGTACAAAATCAAACCGGTATGAAATACTATTAAAATACTATCACTAGGGAAACAACCATATATGTAAAGCTTAATTTATTGGTATCTGACTTAATCAAATTCTATGTATCATTTGTAGAAATACCAAATGCTGTGGAAATTAAACCAATGCAATGAGAGAGGAGTCAAAAGCTCCATTTCTACAGCTTAATTTAATTATACCATAAACCTTGTTCTAACCAGTTAATGGATGATTCTTAACAAGATAATTAAAGCAGCCTATTTGATTGACTAAAAGCTTGTTTAAAAATAAATTAAACCCCAAGAAAAACACGGGTCAATCAACTGGGTTTTTTAATCTATTTTATGGTAATAATGATTTAGAAGCGACTGGTCCCCTGCACCAATTTAATCATAGTTTAGTATACATCCATTCGAAAACGATGTTCAACGTGAAAATTTGACTCCAATTTCTTTCAAAAATTAATATATAAAAACAAATAAAAAAAGAAAACTTTTCTTATTAGTTTAGTTTATCTTGATCTGCATATTGTTTTCGGTGTTTTGCTTTTCGCCTAACCATTTTCATTTCCAGTTGTGCTGTGTGGTGAAGGTGAGAAACACACAATTGAGTCTTTTCCACAATCCATATCAATAATGGTGGAGAATGCAAGGATAGGAATGTCCAATATTACCTATATTTAATGAAAATTTTGAATTTTTTCGAATGAAGATAGAGATGAATATTATATTATATTCATCTAGATGAAAATTATTATAATTTTAAATTTTTATTAGATATAAGATGAGAATGGATAATATAACACTCGTATCGTACTTATATTTTTACATATATTTATATATATTTAGTAAATATATTTTTATTAAATAATATAAATTATTATTTTAAGTTAATTAGAATTAATATATTTTTATTGAAAACATATATATTAATAAATATTTATAAAAAAATATCTAATTATATAAGATAAAAATAAAAAACTAAAAAAATAAATTTTTTTTAATTTTTTTTAATTTATGGTTTCGATGATTATCTATATTCATTAAATATCCATGAGAATGAAAATAAGAATAAAAATAAATTTAAAATATTCATTAAATATGAAAATAAAAATAGATATAATTTAAAATTTTAAAAATATTCAAAAATAAAAATAAAAAATACTCCATTCGTTTTATATCTTACCTAGTAACATCCATTTGCTCGTATTACGAAAATTCTTTATTTGTCGGTTCAAATTTTAGTGAAGTGGGTTGAAAATACTAGGAAAATGCCCAAATATAATCTAGACATGACTAGAGTTAGGCCCATATTTGCAATCCTCCAATCATCATGATTGGACCCAAATTCACCACTTAACTTTTCATTGGGCACAAAATGGAAAAAAAAAGAAATATTTTGGGCTTTTGACCACAAAGTAATTTTAGAATAAAAAAAATAAAATAGAAATGCCTTGACAAATAACAATTGGGTTTTTCCGAAGCGTGTAGACCACTTCAACATCTAGCGTGTGAAACTCGTTTCCCCGCCCATAATATACACACGTTTCATGCGTGCGACACACTATCGGACATATTGCCCCCGCACGTGCCAACAAAAATCTTTTCCTTCAAAATATCGCCATGTCACTCCAACATTTTTTTTTTCCCTCATTTTCTTTTTCTTTTTCATTTTCGACATCTCTGTTAAATGGAAAAAAAAAAAAAATCTGTTGTTATCTTTACTTAATCCAACTCTCACACGTTTTAAATGTACGTATAATGATACGTATTTTTTTGGCTTTTACGCTACTTTTGGCTACGATTTTATCCTGTCGTAAAATCCACGTGTTCAGATGAAACACATTGCGCTTTCTTGTTTTCCTCACATTTGTTTAAGACTAGAAGATGGGGACCACCGCCGACCAACCTGATCCATTCGTAGTTGCCAATTTTATTAGGACTTTTTTACCCTTTCTATTACAATTTTTTTTTTTGCTTTTTTTTCCTTTCGTAATCAGAAAAATACGTTACATAATATCAATTTTGAAAAGTCAAAATATATAAAAAAAAAATACAAGTTAAAGAGAATATTATTTGCTTTATTTCATATTTTAAAATATCTCTGATTTTTACAAATTTCTGTGCTTTTACAAAGCCTAAAATAGTAGAAGTACTTTTTAAAATCTCATGTTGATTTTAATAGAAAATTAAACAATAAAATTTTAAATTTATATGTTGAAAATTAAATCTGAATAGAATATGTAATATAAAACCTTATAAATTTCTACTATTGAATTTTATAATTATTCAAAATTATTTGTTTATTTTATTTTCGTTATTTTTGTATCAAAACGATGATATTTAGGAATGATTCCTCTTGTCCAATCGGCGATCGTCAATTATAAAAAAAAAAACCATTCAACTGTCGTGCTCAGACAAAGTTGTAAAAATCAACCATGACAAAACAATCTCATCGTTCCAATGGTTTTCTGGTCAATTCATACAAATAATATTCCAAAGGTCTTTAAAGTGCAGGGACAAAAATGTAATTCCATCCAGGAAACTCCCCCTTTCTCCTGTCTATAAATACTAATGAATGCCTGCCTGATTCAATTCCCAAATTGTATGAATCCCAGGACAAGCTCTCTCTCAATTCAACTGTAAGTGTTCAATTCAGAATTTCGTTTCCATTTTTAGTTCTTTAGTATATACTATTTAATTAATTATTATATTATATATATATATATTTTTTTTTTTTTTTCTAGCTTTAGGCGTCTCTGTGTTTTTCTGTTCTTCAATTTATAAGATTAACAGAGCTGTGTATATACATATTCCCTTAGATATATTTAGCAATTTGTTTCTTGAATTCATAGAAAAGGACAAAAAAAAAATGAAGTCTAGCACTTGTATTGGAATCTCCAGCATGAAACCTTGTTGTAGAATCCTAATTAGTTATAAAAGCTCTTCCTTTTTGGGGTTTTCTCCCCCGAAAATGAACCGTTCAGGAATCTCAAATTTGTCGAAATCACTTTCCAAAGTAGTTGATCGCCGTAGATTTCACTCTTATAAGCATATTAGGTCACAGATTGTAGGTTGTAAGTGTGTTGTTGATCTGAATCGGAGGGCTATTAGCGTGTCCGAGTCGAGTTGGGGTCAGGCTAGGGTATTTGCGGGTAGTTTTCGTGTGGATAAAGGTAGGGCTAGGGGTGTTTTAGTAATTCCTAAAGTAGCGTCAGATTTTAGGAACCACTCAACGTCCGTTGAGCCTCATGTTAACGAGAAGAATTTTGAGAGGATTTACATTCAAGGTGGGCTGAATGTAAGGCCTCTGGTGATTGAGAGGATTGAGACAGGTAGCGGTTTAGTTAAAGAGGATAATACTGGAGTAGATGTTAATGAGAAAGGTGTAAATACAGATAATTTTAAGGGTTTGAATCTGACTGAGCCTAAGATTGAGAGAGAGGTGTCTGAAATTGACAAAGAGGCATGGAATATACTACGTGGTGCTGTGGTGAACTATTGTGGAAATCCAGTGGGGACCGTAGCCGCTAATGATCCAGCAGACAAGCAGCCATTGAACTATGATCAGATATTTATCCGTGACTTTGTACCTTCAGCGCTTGCTTTTCTGCTAAATGGAGAGGGGGAGATTGTGAAGAATTTTCTTCTTCACACATTGCAGTTACAGGTACATATGATCTTTATGCCTAAACATTGCTTTTACATTTTAATCAAATTATCAGTGTGCTTTTTGATCATTGGTGGAAACTTGAACACCATATGTAAATTGATTGGTCTTAATGATATCTTATTTAACTTTATGATTGTACAACTGATTTCTGAATTTGTAGAAATTAAAAAGATGTGTTATCAACACTAAGCTACATTTAGCCCGGAGAAAAACATGAATTGGTATTTGCATGTCACAATGATACCATAGAAGTGCAAATTCGGAAGTGCAGATCATAACTTGATACCACTTTGCATTTTTATTTTTGCATTTCATAGATCCTCAGGGAATTTCATCATCAGATAATATCAAAGGAGGCTCATTACTTTAACTGGTGGATTAACTTATGGTTATTAGGGTGATATATTGATGGGCTCTCTTGCATTCTTTCTGGGCATTGGCTGTTTTTTGATGATGTTTTTGTTGGTTTTAGAGCTGGGAGAAGACTGTGGACTGTTATAGCCCCGGGCAAGGGTTGATGCCAGCAAGTTTTAAAGTTCGATCTGTCCCTCTTGATGGAAGCACTGAAGCATTTGAAGAGGTTTTAGATCCTGATTTTGGTGAATCAGCCATTGGTCGTGTTGCCCCTGTTGATTCTGGTAGGATAGTATGACTTTTAGTCACCGAAGAGTTTATTTATAATTAATTCTTTAACATCAAATGCCATAAAAAAATTTTCTTGCTGGTGTTAATTCTCTGATTAGCAATTATTTATTTTCCAATAATGGTTCCATCTCGTTGAGATGGTGTTAATTCTCTGATTTTGATGTTAATTCACAGGGTTGTGGTGGATTATCTTGTTGAGAGCTTATGGAAAGATCACTGGGGACTATGCATTACAAGAGAGGGTGGACGTACAAACAGGCATAAGACTGATCCTAAATCTGTGTTTAACTGATGGTTTCGACATGTTTCCTTCGCTGTTGGTCACTGATGGTTCCTGTATGATTGATAGACGAATGGGTATTCATGGCCACCCTCTGGAAATTCAAGTAAGCTGAATACTTTTTTATTATATATTTATATATATATATATATATATATATATTAGGCATTTCCCTTGTCTATTTGTTAAAACCCAAACGACCCTGATCTTACAGGCTTTATTCTATTCTGCTTTGCGTTGCTCCCGTGAGATGCTCACTGTGAATGATGCAACCAAGAATTTGGTAGCTGCCATAAACAACCGACTCAGTGCACTCTCATTTCACATCAGAGAGTATTACTGGGTTGATATGAAGAAAATCAATGAGATATATCGTTACAAGACAGAGGAATATTCTACAGATGCCATCAACAAGTTCAATATCTATCCAGATCAGATTCCTTCATGGCTAGTTGATTGGATTCCTGATAAAGGTGGCTACTTCATTGGCAATTTACAACCTGCTCATATGGATTTTAGGTTTTTCACTCTTGGAAATCTTTGGACCATTGTTTCTTCTTTGGGAACCTCGAAACAGAATGAGGATGTTTTGAATTTGATTGAGGAAAAATGGGATGATCTTGTGGCTAACATGCCTCTTAAGATTATTTACCCTGCTCTGGAGTCTGACGAGTGGCGGATCATCACTGGAAGTGACCCAAAGAATACGTGGGGCTTTTTTCATTGCATTCTGTGATTCTCTTTACTTCTCTGTAAGCATAACAAATTGGTGAATAAAATTATTCAGAAACTGACTCCTGTCTTGTTTGCAGCCCATGGTCATATCACAATGGTGGATCCTGGCCAACGCTCCTGTGGCAGGTAAAGCTTATGTATATTTTGAAATCTTTTATAATGCTTGTGAAGGTTGATAATGTAGTCAGTTACCTATCTAATACACCTTAGTCATGTAATGATTGTAATGATCTTGAATCTTGTAATTATGCTCCTTAATGAATTGCATTTTGTTATTTCAGTTTACATTGGCCTGTATAAAAATGGGGAAGCCAGAATTAGCACAAAGAGCAGTTACTTTGGCAGAGGAAAGGCTGTCAGCGGATCAATGGCCTGAATACTATGACACAAGAAGTGGAAGGTTTATAGGCAAGCAATCCCGGCTCTTCCAGACATGGACAGTTGCCGGTTTCCTTACCTCAAAGATGCTATTGCAGAATCCATGGAAGGCATCCCTGTTGTTCTGGGAGGAGGACTACGAGCTTCTCGAGACTTGTGTTTGTGGCCTTAGCAAAACTGGTCGAAGAAAGTGCTCACGCCTAGCTCCTAGGTCTGCGAGTCCTGGACGGTAATGACCCTTTGTTAATAAGGCGTCGGTGTCTTTGTGTTTCCTTAGCAAGCATGGGAAATAAAGATGGAAGAACAGAGTATAGCAATTATCAGAATATTCTGAGTACTAACAGCCATCATTTATGTAAAGCACCTGTTTGTTGTATCATTCATTGACTTGAATTATGAGGCTCAGTTTTTGGAGAGCTTCTAACATATTGTAAGGTTCTAAACCTGAATAATTGAACATATGAATTCATTATTCTATTATATATATCACAGCTTCTTTATTTTATGCTGTGAACACATTGTTTTCTTTATCTAATTTAAGTTCTTGCCTTTGAGTCTTCCCATCGAGGAAAGAACCAAGGCATTGTCCACAAATTGAGGGTATGCATTGATATATTCAGGCTGCCATTGTTGCATAAAATCATAATTGTGGCCATGGGAGATCTAGCTCGATTCTTATGGCCGTAATTTCTGATGACAACCTTCATCTCATTGGCAAGAAATCAACTCCACGGAACATATGATACTCCTTCCTCAGAAAACTTATCATTAGCCAATTTTCAGAATATTCTGAGTACTAATTCATGTTAAGTACTTTTAATGCTACATTTGATTTCCAAAATCATAAGGAATTAACTTAATTTTGAAACACGATCTCTGCTTTTATTTCTCTTCTGATACAGGAATCAAATTGCCGGGGTTTCTGAAGGATGCAGCCTGAGCTTGAAAGAAACTGAGTCAATAGTCTAAAGGGCTTGCATTCAACTTGTTCATAATCAGATTCAGACAAGAACAGGGTGCCATATGCCAATTTCTAGGCAAAAGAGTAAGGACCTGGGGAATTGAAATTAGGAGCCCAATTGTGCTGCAAGAATGGCCCCAAACCTGCAAATTAGTCCAATTACGCCCCTGTCAAGCCACTCAAAGCCCACAGTGCGAGTTACAGAAGCCTATCCTCCTGACAGCCCTCCATCCTTATCTACACATTTGAACTCTGGAACCCAACATCAAATCCTTAGCACTGAACTTTAATGCATTATCACCTTTTTCCTGGGAAAATGGCTTCATGCATATCTCAACAACAGTGGACCTTTGGCATTTTCCTAAAAGTGAACGGTCTAATCCAAATCTACGTCAATAAATTATAAGCTCTTCATTTTCATCGTCTGATTTTATTTTGTTGCATTACTTTCTGTGGATTTTGACACAAAGCCGGTACTTGTCTTATGTCCCCATCCAAGTTCTGAAGTGGAGGCCTGGAGTGGAGCCATGCTATCTTAGCCAGGCAATAAGACTCTATTCAGTGGAGTGGAGCAATCTGGTATCAAGACTCAATTCCATTAATTCCCTGGTGAGACTACGCACTTGTATGAAGGTTAGTAAAGGAAAGGAAAGGATGCCTTAAATCAACGCCACGGAAGATATGATGCTTCTTCCTCATAAAACTTATCATTAGCCAATTTTCAGAATACTCTTTTCAGTACTTATTCATGTGAAGTACTTTTAATGCTACATTTGATTTCCAAAATCACAAGGAACTAAATTAATTTTGAAATACGATCTCTGCTTTTATTTCTCTTCTGATAGAGGAATCAAATTGCATTGGGCTTCTGAAGGTAGTAGCCTGAGCTTGAAAGAAACTGAGTTAATAGTCTCAAGGGCTCGCATTCGACTTGTTCGTAATCAGATTCAGACATGAACAGGGTAAGGGACCTGTGGGATTGAGATTTGGTGCCCAATTGTGCTGCAAGAATGGCCCCAAACCTGCAAATTAGTCCAATGACTCCCCTGTTAAACCACTCAAAGCCCACAGTCCTGAGTGGGTTCCACGAGTTACAGAAATCTATCCTCGATCCTTATCTACACATTTGAACTCTGGAACCCAACATCAAATCCTCAGCACTGAACTGTAATGTGCATGATTACCCTTTTTCCTGTGGAAAGTCGCTTCATGCATATCTCAACAATAGTGGACCATTGGCAATTTCCTAAAAGTGAACGGTCTAATCCAAATCTACGTCAATAAAATATAAGCTCTTCATTTTCATCGTCTGATTTTATTTTGTTGCATTACTTTCTGTGGATTTTGACACAAAACCGGTACTTGTCTTATGTCCCCATCCAAGTTTTAAAGTTGGAGGCTTGGAGTGGAGCCATGCTATCTTAGCCAGGCAATAAGACTATTCAGTGGTGTGGAGCAATCTGGTGCCAAGACTCAATCCATTAATTCCCTGGTGAGAATACGCACTTGTATGAAGGTTAGGAAAGGAAAGGATGCCTTAAAAGAACATCTTCAGTGGTTGTTTCGTGGTCAAACAACCCCAAGGATAGGACGACATGTTGAGTAACTCATCTAGTGCTGTAAGCCATGCTAGCTTTCAATTTTGTGAACTTTTGACAGGCCATTGAAAATGAAAAACCCCTACTAAACTGCTTGACATACCTGTCTTTGGTCCCTCATTATGTCCTATTCAGCTTGGAGTATGGCATCCAAATTTCGATTCCCCAATCTTGTGGTCATTTCCTATTCATAGCGTTCAGCCCACTGCATTGGTATGTTCTATCTCTATCCATAGCCTTTCTCTCCCAGTGTATGTCATTTCCCACTCAGGACCATTAGCTAGGGTCAATCTTGCAAAAAGATCAGGACCATAAGGATTATTGTTCATGTGCAGAAATATAACTGCACAAAAGAATGCCAAAGCTGCTTGGAAAAGAGAACTTTTCACTGATGACTAAACTACATATAACATAAACCATTTTCCCACCCCAAATAACAAGTTTATGACTACATTTTCTTCCTGTAAACAAAAACCATGGGAAATGGGAAGGATTACAGCCAAAATTCCCCCATCAGGAGCAGCTAAAGATGTAACTTGGAAAGTCGTCAAGCAACGTGTTCATCTATACTGTGCTTTCTGAAAAGGTCAAGGCGGCCTTCTCCAAGCCGGAGAGAATATGAAGCTTTCTTGTATTCACCCCAGGTAAAAGGCCTGTACAGCAAAGGCTTTTGGGGGGTGACCAGCTCTGCGGGAGCACTGACCCAAGCATGTAGTGGTGGTGCCCCAAAATAGGCCATTGACATTCTAGACTTGTAGGAATTGGTCAAGGCTCTGTGCCTCACGCTTACGAACCTCCCATTGGTCATAGCCTTCAAAATATACCAAAATGAACATGTATTAGTTTATGGTACTGCAGAAGCTTACAGTAAGAAACTGTTCACCTACCATTCCTACCTTTAACATTTCAACTTCATAAAGGAATGTCTCTAACTTAAACTACAACCATTTTGGATGAGCTAGCTGCCTTTCCTGTCTCAAATTGGTTTTTGACGATCGCTTACTCAGCTGTTTATCTTACAAAATAAAGTATAGCTTAAAACATAAGTATGTCCCTGCAAGGAATCGAACCTAAATGTGCCAGTTAAAACTTTTCTGTTTTTGTTAACCCAATTCTGAAATGTCCCCCAAGATTTGTCTCTAGAGGAAAGGTAAAAGAGATGTTGGTAACCGTACCCAAACTTTACGGATTACTATAGCTGCTTGCAAGAACAATAAATGGTAATACAGCCTAAGCAACCAGAAACTTTTCAGTTCCATTTGTTCTCAAAGAAAAGTTAGCAATCAATTACTCAAGTCCCTAGTGTTCATTGGATAGAAACTCATATATGGGGGTCCCTTTTATAGGGTGGTCAATCCAAAGCTGCAGTGAAAAACTGCAGTGATTCCAAAAGCATATTTCAGTTTCTATCAATCCAATTCACCTTTTCTTTTGGGGGGTCTAAGACGTTACTATGATTACTATGAGAGAGAAGCGAATGAGAGAAATGTACCAACCTGTAAAACATCACCCACATTAACACAAAAGGCATTGGGGTCAGGGGGGACAGGGACCCACACACCTTCATCCAGAGAAATTTGCAGGCCACCCACATCGTTGGATCTCAGGATGGTCAAGATCTGAGGGTCGGAATGCTCCCCAAACCCAACCTTGCTGCTGCTGTGACCATGAAATGATGAGGGCGACGTTTCCCTATCCTTGCAGAGAATGGGTGGATAGTGATTGAGCCTGAAAAGCGAGTCACTTTCAACGTCCCTGATCATCCTACTAAACACTGATGAATCATGGACCCACAATCCCTCTGCCATCAGATCCAGGATCTCACATGCCAATCCCCTAACTGCTTGTATGTAACCACTCACAGCAAAGCTGCAACCATACACAACACACAATCACCATCACACATTAGAAAAACGAGTAACTAGCAAACAATCCCAGCATAACTAAAGTTGCGGGCTTGAGTTAAAAACTCAATACTGTCTCAGCCTGAACACTGTGCCCTTTATTTTAGATTTGCTTTATCAGTTTTTCTTTCTGTGTTTTGCTTCATTAGGGAAGATTAGTCAACCTGTTACTTTTCTCCATTTTTGGGTAGGGGCATGAACTCTGGAGCCACTGCATTTTTTTTTTTTTGAAACATCCCTTCTTTCAATTCTTTTGATTTGATTAGACCTTCTCCGCTGCAGCCCTCTTTGCTGTGATTTGTCATTCTGATATCGCAATCTTTTATGTCATGATACTTTCCTTACAACCCACATTTCTTCCAAGAGGTGATGTTTCTTATACGCGCTTTCTAGGGCTCGTAGAAATGAGCCCGACCGCAAACATAGGGAAGTGTCTCTGACATCAAATCCCACCTTGTAGGAGAGTAGAGGAGAACTATATCCCACATACCACAGTCCCATGTGACTTGAGGCTATTTCGAAACTCACGTGTATTCATGATTTTGAATCACTTTTTTTTTTTTTTAATTTTAATATTTCTCTTCTCGATTCCTATTCATCCAATGAAAAAACTATATTTTTCTCTACATGTCTTTGGTTGACCTTTAATTCTTTACCAAAGTTAAAGAGAACAAGACATGATCTGCAGTTTCTTCTCAAACCAGTTCTAAACTGACCTATGTTTTGATTTTTCCAGATGTCCTATTTATGAAAGAATTAAACATTATGTCTTAATAAAGTTTGGTTTTTTGGCTAAAAGAATGAAAAACGGCCTAGTTGAACCAACCGACAAATTTAGATTATGACACTGAATCCATAATTTTACTTCTCAGTTAGGAAACAAAATTTCGGTTTCACCAAATGGTCTGAAAGAATAATAGTAAAAAAACACAAAAAAAAAGAGCTACAACTTGGCTATGAAGCAGGTTTTCTTTCCGCATATTTTTTCACCAGATACAACCCTACCCAAATAAACTTGCTTAATATCATGGCAAAAGAAAGGGAAACTACAAGTAGGCTTTTTTTGTGAATGTATAGTTGTAACATTTATTTGGGGACTTTTGAAAGGCCACAACATCAGCAAAATATAGTAATCATTGCCATTTAAAGCAGGTATATATGGTTGGAGAGTTGAATGCAATGGTATAGAAAAGAAAATATACAACTCATCAAAAGCCCACCTTCATGGATTCATCAAATTGAACAAATCAGTAGGAAAACATGCTGGCAAAGATCTTGCTAGTCACTGAACATGGCCCAAACTCATCAACTTCATATAGCTTATTTATATACTTTGTATATATTTTTTTTCTCTCTTTTTACCTATCTATCCTTTGGCCGCCATTCAAGAAAAGGAACATGCAACAATTGAAGTACTAAAAAAATTGAGGAAAATAAAGTACCTGAACTTTTTGGGGTCATTGGAGATGGTATTGGATCTCTGAGAAATGGATAGAGGGTTGGTATCAAACAGAAGATATTCAACTTCTCCAATATCACCATTGAAGCCAATGTTCTTGCAACCATAACCAAAGGGAGTGGCAGGTCCAGCTCTTTGTTTCTCAGAGAGTGGCTTGGCAAAGAAGTTGAGACCTTCTTCTTCCATTTGGGCAATGATATCCTCAGACACTCCATGGTTGATCACCTGAAAGAAACCATACTCTTCACAGGCTTTAACAATGAGGTTTGACACCTCTAATCTCTCAGCTGAAAGGTCCACGACAGGGAGCACAATGGGTTGAAACTTTTCAGCCCGAGCTGGGTTTGGTGAAGCCACCACCATATCTCCTCTCTTTGGAGCTCCAACAACACTTAGAACAAGAGAACCAATTAAAAAAAGAATAAAGACTACACGGATTCTGATATTTGTATGTGAAAAAAGATAGGGCAAAGGGTGCGTTATGAAGAAACGTAAGAGCCTACGATATTTAAGAAGAGAGAATCTGAGAAAAGTAAAAAAGAAAAAAACTTTTCGTGTTGATGATTCAGGGAATCACTTCGGGTGAAGTACAACTGTACAAAGCTTTAGCAAATTCCTGTTTCAGAAAAATTTGACTTTCATTACTCTCCCCTTGACTTTTTCTTAATCCTCTTTTTTATCTATCTTTTTTGCTTAAATGTTGCTTTAAATAATGAATACTCTCTTTTTTTACTCTAACTTGTCTTAGTATTTAATTTAAGGACGAAACTTACGTAAATTTTTTTAATTTAATGTAAAAATTAATAATATATAAAAATTTATTATTAAAAATATTATTTATAATTAAATTTTGACTAATTTTTATTTAATTGTAAAAATTTTATCAATATTTTTATTAAAAATATTTATTAATATATATATTTATTAAATTTTTTTAAAATTTTACACACTTAATTAATATAATAAGATCTTTTAATCTATCCATTTTAATTTTTAATTTTCATTTTAATTTAATCATTTTTAATAAAAAATTTTATTAATTTCACCTGAAAATTTTTATCTAATTTTTTTAATTTAAACCTATTACCAAATTTCCTTTTCATTATTTGTGTCAAAATTATGTTTGGATTTAAAATTTAATTAATTATTTTAAAAAATAATATTTAATAAATTATAATATTTATAAAATTATATTTATTCTTTAAAAATAAATTTTTTAAAAATAATTTAAAAATAAATAAATTATTCAATCTTTTAAATTAAAATAAAATATATCATATTTAACAACTTAAAAAATAATTATAAATTATATATTTAAAATAACCTCAATAAATTATCCACAAAACTCAAAATTAAAATATGAGTATAAAAATACTCTACCTTAATAACTAATTGGACTAACCCTAAAAAATTCCTTCCTTTGTTTGCAAGTTACATTAAGAATGTTCTGTGACTCCTTTTGTAAGGATATTATTTTATTCTCTTTTTTATTATTTTTTCATGACATCATCGTATTCATAGACAACTTTATAGTATTGTTGGGCGATGAGACAATAATTGGGTAAACTTATAAAATTAATTTCTGCTGTCCAAATTTGATGTCTAATGCTGAAGTTAGATGGATTAAAATAAGGTTAAGATCTCCCAATCTGCTTCAAATATTGGTATTTTGGGAAATTAAAAATAAATGTTTGGCCCTAAACAAGTATGGGTTCTCATTGGACCATTGAACAGGAAAAGAAAGCACGAGGAAAGCAAACTGAAGTTTTCCCTCTCAACCCCTTTTAACAGCATAAGAATATATAACTTATTTAATTTTTTAAATCAAAATATATCATATCGTATTTAATAATATAAGAAAATAAATATCATTATATGTTCGAGATAACTTTAATAAGAGATTATTAATTAAATTTAAATTTATTATATCAAGAAAAATGATATTTATTATTTTAAAAATGATAACGAATTGAAATAGGATAAATTTTTGTTCGTATTAAATTTGACTCAATTTTTATACCTATAATACCTAAACCCAATCCAACGATTTTTTTTTTTTTACATCCTGATTCGACCTGATTCAATATTGTATAAAATTATATTTGATCTTAAATTAATAAAATATTATTTTTAATAAAATATAATATTAAATAAAAAATTTAATTATATTTAATTAAAAATAATTATATATATGATCGAATCGGAGTGAATTTGCTTAAAATTTGATCAGATTTTTTTCTACAATTATCTTATCCAAATTTTAAAAAAAAAAAAAAGCATAAGAGGTCCGTTGAGGATGAGTTGGACCGCCATTTATATACCAATTGAATCAATTTTTTATTGGTAATTAAAAAAACCTATTACACATTATTAATTGAGTAAAAACAAAAATTAAATGGGTAATTTTGAAAACCAATTCTGTTTAAATTATTCATAGCTATGTGTTGTTTTTATACATGCATGGATAATAAATTTTGGAAAAGCTTCAGTCTTGCAATTATTCATACCACTCTGAGACACTGTCCAACAACAATCACAATTGCATTTTTTTTTTTTTTTATGAATCACAATTGCATTATGAACATTGATGAGACTCTGATTTTTTTATAGCTTTGAGTGGCACATGGCAGCGGTGGCCCATTTCAAGCCCAATCTGGTGTGCAATTTCTAGCAGTCCGAAGGTCCAACCCACCAATAAAACATTAGACAGAGATGCAAGCAATTTATTTTTGGGTAAAAATAATAAAAAAAAACCTTTGAATTTCATCAATCTTTTTAGATAAATTCTTACATTTTTATTGTATCTAAATAATTTTTTTTTAAGTTATATTCAAATAAACTTTTATTTCAAGCAAATGATAAATTTATGTTAAAAATTTATTTAGATACAAATTAAAGATTAAAATTTTATTTGAACATAAATTAAAAATAAAAATTTGTTCGAGTGTAACAAAAATTAAAAAAAAATTATTTAAATAAAACGATATAATTCAAGAAATTTTTTATTATTTTAACCTTAATCTTTTAAACAAGACATGCAATAATTGAAGTTGAAAAGCCCATAATTATCCATAAAGATTTTTTTATTAAATTATAAAGATATTACCCAAAAGTTTTTTGAGTATATGATTCAGGTTGGTTAGGATTTAATAATCAATGAAGTCACTTGCATTATCCTCCTTGTCCCCTCTCTTCTTTTGTGAAAACAACTTTACCCCTTACAATAATTATATAGGGAGTCAAATATCAACAGTTACCTAAATTTAGGTTCAATGTTGAAAGAAACATGCTACCATGACAGTTACCCTTACAAGAAATTGAGTCATAAATGATGTCACAATATATATAGCATGATTTTAATTTGCTTTTAGAATAAAAAAAAATTAAAACTATCTTGAAATTTGAAGTGAATGGAATAGTGTACATGCATGTGTAATGGATTTATATTTTTAACTCGAAAGATATGTTTATTAGATGGAGAAAATCTAATGATTTATAAGATCAAAACTATTATTTTCTCTAATAAACATAGGATTCGTTACATTCTCTATTATCAATTCTCTTATCGATACAAGATTCGTGGCACATGTGTATATATATGTTATTTATGTCAAAATAAGGGTAGCAAGAATCATACTTATCGGAATAGAATTAGGAACCCTAATTAAGATAGGGCAACAAGAATATGGAGCATGGCCCGAAAAGAGGAGACAGATTAAGCATGCCTAAGCTTTTAAAATTTCTTTTTAGTTTATGTTAAGTTGCTGCTCTTTGTATCCATCAACTCGGATGCTATCAAAGCAGTTATCTTCTTTCTTGTTATTCAATTTGGCATAAAATGAATAAGCATGAGTTCTTCTTTGATGGTGGGTTCCTATGTAAGCCTATCCACTTTCAAATCAATGGACGAAATTTGAAAAAAAAAAAAAAAACCATTTTTGAACTGTTGACACTTATGAATGAAATGTTTACAATATTGAAAAAAGAAAACGATAGGTTAAGAATCATATAACACTTGTTAACTATGGAAGTCAACTAAAGGATAATGTTTCTTTTCATTCCTATTGAAAAACCCAATTCTTTTTTTTTTTCAACATTACGATACAATTTTAATTTAAAATTATATTTTAACATGATTCTTTTTTTTTTATCTTTCATACAGTCGACTATCGATTCCAAAATTAAGAGATATAAAGGTTAATTTATTCTTGTTGTTTTACACAGTCTTAGCTTTCTGTATGAAGTTCACATGCATGCACTATGTAATACATTTTGATAGTAAATGGTAACCAAAGGGAAGAATTAGAACAGTTATTAACCCAACAATAACTTGTAAGGGAAAATAATCCTTAAAAATTGTTTTTATTTCTAAAATCAAAGAATATTCTTTGGAAATCTTTTACAAATTTGTATAGCATCAGATATTTATTTATAGTTAATCAAACCAGAAGAAACCTATTATAATTGGATGTTAGCTGAGCTGAGTTTTCAATGTCTTTTTCGGAATGAAACCTCTGGAAAATGACATGGGTGGAATAAATTAGGGTTCATATATATATATATATATATATAAACATACACAAAACTAACAGTCACGCTTTATTGATAGAGTGTTAAATTTTTACTTATAATAAGGATTAGCATTCAATTTTTAATCAACTCGAATAAAAAAAAAAGTATAGTTTGTGTGAGATTAATTTGGGATGGCCATGGAAGTCCAATTATTGGGTGGGATCAGTGTGCCTATGGTGGATTGTGGGTCTTTGACACAAATTAAGGCAGACAAACAGCTCAGATCACATATGAAAAGTTATCATTCTCTTTGTAGTTACAACTTTGACTACAACTCGCAAGTTCTATACCAAAATGAAAACAAATTCCAGCTTCTTAATTGGTTGGTCATGTCATGTTCAAACTTGAAAGCTTAATCTTGTGGAATATTATTGTATGATTATGAATCATGGAAAAGAAAAACCTAACAATTAATCAAAGATTTGTTGATTGTTGGGCAGCCCAGATCCTTCAGACTGTCCTTGGCCCATTCAAATACATCTATTTAAGGCTTATTTGTTGCTGTTTCCTTCACAAGACTCAGGGTCCACCCCCTAATTGATCAGCCATAGCCCACAGCTTAGGAATATATTCTTGTAAAAAGGGCAGTGGATGGGTGGAATTCGTTACTACTTTCTAGCTAGCTCCTTGTCAAAAATCAAAATCCAATGTGTTGTTATACTGAAGACGGAAAAAGAAGCTTAAATAAACTAACCAGGATGAAATGATATCCCCTCATTTGATCAATTCGTCGAAGATGTATTGATTTTGGTAACCAAGTGCTTTGCTAGTTATCTGGATAAAATTCTGAAAACACAAAGGAAAGAAAGAGAACGATTATCGACGAAGGCCGAAGATGATTTTAGCATTTATAATTTGACATTTA